TGTGATTCATCAATATTGTACTTTGTTCAATATCATTGCTGTTTCACATGAAGTGAATTGAAATAAAGTCGCTCAGTCATGTCCGACTCTTTGCAACCCCATGGACTGTAGCCTACCAGGCTCCTTCCATGGGATTTTTCCAGGCAAGAGTACTGGAATAGGTTGCCATTTCCTTCTCCAGGGGATCTTCCACACCCAGGGATTGAACCTGGGTCTCCCGCATTGTAGGCAGTCGCTTTACCGACTGAACCACCAGGGAAGTCTGCTGTTTCATATTCCATTGTGTAAATGTTCCACAAATTATTTACCCATTTTACTGTTTATGGATACTTGGATAATTTCCAGTTTGAAGCTATCATAAATAGCATTACTATGAGGATTCTAGTATATGCTGTGATTAATCCCTCAGACATGTCTAACTCTTTGCAACCCCATGAACCATAGCCCGCCAGGCTCCTCTGTCCTTGTGGGTTCGCCAAGCAAGAATACTGAAGTGGGTTGCCATGCCTTCCTCTAGGAGATCTACTCAACCCAGGGATTGAACCCCTTTCTCCTGCATTGCAGGCATGCAGATTCTTTACTGCCTGAGCCACCAGGGAATACACCTAGACCACAGAGTGGGAAAGACTAGAGATCTTTTCAAGAAAGTTAGAGATATCAAGGGAACATTTCACACAAAGATGGGCTCAATAAAGGACAGAAGTGGTATGGACTGAACAAAAGCAGAAGATATTAAGCAGAGGTGGCAAGAATACAGAGAAGAATTATACAAAAAAGATTTTAATGACTCAGATAGCTACAATGGTGTGATCACTCACCTAGAGACAGACATCCTGGAGTGAGAAGTCAAGTGGGCCTTAGGAAACATCACTATGAACAAAGCCGATGCAGGTGATGGAATTCCAACTGACCTATTTCAAATCCTGAAAAATGATGCTGTTAAAGTGCTGCAGTCAATATATTAGCAAATGTGGAAAACTCAGCAGTGGCGACAGGACTGGTAAAGGTAAGTTTTCATTCCAATGTCAAAGAAGGGCAATACCAAAGAATGTTTAAACTATTGCACAATTGCACTCATTTGACATGCTAGTAAAGTAATGCTCAAAATTCTTCAAGCTAGGCTTCAACAGTATGTGAACCAAGAACTTTCAAATGTACAAGCTGGATTTAGAAAAGGGAGAGGAACCCAGGTCAAACTGGCAATATCTGTTGGATCCTAGAAAAAGCTAGAGAATTCCAGAGAGACATCTACTTCTGCTTCATTGACTACACTAAATACTTTGACTGACTAGACCAAAACAAACTGTGGAAAATTCTTAAAGAAGTGGGAATACCAGACGACCCGAGAAACTTGTTTTCAGGTCAAGAAGAAATAGAACCAGACATGGAACAACAGACTGCTTCAAAATTGGGAAAAGAGTATATTAAAGCTGTATATATTGTCACCCTGCTTATTTAACTTCTAGGCAAAGTACATCACGTGAGATGCTGGGCCAGATAAAGCACAAGCTGGAATCAAGATTGCTGGGAGAAATATCAATAACCTCAGATATGCAGATGACACCACCCTTATGACAGAAAGCAAAGAGGAATTAAAGAGACTCTTGATAAATATGAAAGAGGATAGTTAAAAAGTTGGGTTAAAACTTAACATTCAAAAAATGAAGATCAAGGCATCCAGTCCCATCACTTCATGGAAAATAGATGGGAAACAGTGACAGATTTTATTTTCTTAGGCTCCAAAATCACTGCAGATGGTGACTGCAGCCATGAAATTAAAAGACACTTGCTCCTTGGAAGAAAAGCAATGACAAACTGAGACAGCATATTAAAAAACAGAAACATAACTTTGCAGACAAAGGTCCATATAGTCTATAGTCAAACCTATGGTTTTTCTAGTAGTCATGTATGGATATAAGAGTTGGACAATAAAAAAGAGAGTCAAAGAATTGATGTTTTCGAACTTGGTGCTGTAGTAAGACTCTTGAGAATCCCTGGGACTGCAAGGAGATCAAACCAATCAATCCTAAAGGAAATCAACCCTGAATTTTCCTTGGAAGGACTGATGCTGAAGCTGAAGCTCCAATACTTTGGCTACCTAAGTTGAAGAGCCAACTCATTGGAAAAGACCCTGATGCTGGGAAAGAGTGAAGGCAGGAGAAGGAGACAACAGAGGATGAGATGGTTGGATGGCATCACTGCCTCAATGGACATGAGTTTGAGCAAGCTCCAGGAAATGGTGAAGGACAGGAAGCCTGGCATGTGGCAATACATGAGGTCACAAAGAGTTGGACATGACTGGGCAACTAAACAACATAGCTAGACAAGGAATAGCTGAGGATGTATATATATGTAATTTAAATAGATTCTGCCACACCATTTAAAAAGTTGATCATCCCGAATAACACTCCTATCAGCAATGTACAAGAGTTCCAACTGATACAAAACCTCACCCACAGTTGGTACATTCTGTCTTTTTAATTTCGGTTATTCTTGTATTTGTGTAGTGTTATTTCATCATGGTTTTAACTTGTAGTTCTCTAGTAACTAATGATACCGAATATCTTTTCACATTCATTTACTATTCGCTGTTTAGATATCCCCTTTTGTGAAGTATCTACGTCTTCTTCTTAATTTTTTATTGGGTTATCAGTCTTTTTAAATTTTTAAAATTTTCAACCACATGAATATACTACTGTTAATTTTAAAGAAATATAATTGAAATATATATTTTATAGCCTTCTCTGCTGCATGTTCTCTCCTTCTTAGAGATTTATAATACACTAGTATTTCGGAAGCTCTAAAAAGTCTTAAACTTTTCACAACCACAGAACAATTTGGAGAAATGTTGCTTCCATTCTTGTATAATCTTTATTTTCATGGAATTAATAATTTCTTTTTTCACTTTCCTATAGTTTTCAATCTCTCGCTCAAATTTTGTTCATAGATTTCATTAGATCTATCAAATATCTAGCAATATAACTATAAAAATACTCAAAATTAACCATCTAAATAAATTCAATGATTTTTATCACTCTTTCTTCTCAGAATCCGCCATCTTCTTGCTCCAGTGAAAACAATTGCTCCCTAATCCTGCCACATATCTTTCGCCTGGCATTTCTCTTCACATCCTTCTGGTCCTGTTTTCTGGACCCCATGTCTGAAAGTTTTGCTGTCATGTTCTATTGGAGTACATCCTCTAGTAGTTTTCTCTTTAAAAAAGTACATAGATGAAAAATAAATGTTTTTACATCCTTATATATGTGAAATGTTTTTATTCTGCTCTTATACTTGATGGATGGTTTGACTACAGAATTCTAGGTTGGAAGCTATTGCAATACAAAACTGCATAGAAGCATTATTGCTGAGAAATCAGATGCCATTCTAATACTCACCATTTGTTCTTGTTTCTTCACTCTGAAATCTTAGAATCTTCTATTTGCTCTTAGGGTCTTGATCTTTTTAAAGATGTACTTTAATATAGGTCTTTTCTTATTCACTGTGGGTGCTGTGTGTGTGTGTGTGTGTGTGTGTGTGTGTGTGTGTCTGTGTGCGCATGTGCATGCTCAGCCATATCAGACTCTTTGTGACCCCATGGACTGTAGCCTGCCAGGCTCCTCAGTAAATACGATTTCCCAGGCAAGAATACTCCAGTGGGTTGCCATTTCATCCTCCAGGCAGTCTTCCCAACCCAGGCATCAAACCGGTGTCTCTTGAGTCTCCTGCATTGGCGGGTAGATTCTTTACCCCTGCGGCCACCTTAGCTGGTAGACCCTTTCAACATGAAGACTTTTGACCTTTGATCCTGACAAAAATTCTTGAGTTATTATTTTGATAATGTCCTCCCTACTTTTTGTTCTCTTTCTCCAGAACTCTTAGTTTGTAAACTGAATGAATGAATGAATGAATACGAAAAGTTTTCTCAGCACTTTTTGTAGCAAAAAGCTTATTTAGAAATAAACTACAGATTATCAGACCATAGCTTTAAAGCTAAGCAATTTATTTTAAATTACCAGATTTCAAAACAATCTTTATTACAGCTTCCATTACTTGCAAAATGTAGCATTGCTACTCACGTTTCGGGCAATAAAGAAATACAGGAAGCGTTGAATTTCCCTAGGCAGAAATCCCTGATTCAACTCAGGCATTTCCTATTAATTACGTTTCAGAACTCATTAAATGCCTAGCACGAATTTGCTATTGTGTACAATATCTGCACCACACGTTGCAAAACAGCCATTTCAGCAGCAGACAGGCGTTTAAGGTAAAAAAGACGAAAAGATGCTTCCATCGTTTTTTTGGTTGGTATTAAATACTGCGTTCTTCCCAGATCTATGAGAAAGAAATGTTTGCAGTCTTATCTGAAATCAGAGGGAAGGGCTCTCTCGAGGTTATTTTTCGATCTCTGGCTGTAATACGGGCGTCAGGAGTAAACATGGATGAGAGGAAGAAAAATACGTTGCCAGTAGACTGGACCAGAGGAGTCTTCCAGGGCAGGAGGGCCTGCGGACCAACTGTGAGGGGTCTGAGGAGAAATTTCCTCACAGGAAACCCTTTCCAAACCCTCGCTGGTCGGGGGCGCGGAGAAAAGACGCACTGAGCGCCCCAGACGCCTTTCCCACTCCCAGGCCGTCGCCCGCGTCGCGCCGCGCCGGCCCGGGACACGCGGTCCCGGCTCCCCACGGCCGTGACCTCCGGCTGGCGCGCGGGAAAGCCCCCGGCTCGGCGTCCGCCCGCTGACGTCACTGGAGCGTCTGAGGAGGGCGGAGCTCCGAGCGGAGGGCTCCAGTAGCTGCCGCGGCCTGGGGGCCCGGGTCGGCGACAGGAAGCCGGTCTTCGGAGTGCCCCGTCGCCTCAGCGTCCACTTGTCTGCAGAGAGAGTTCGCCCGGGCCTTGGATAAGGAGCGTGGCGCGGGCCGCCTGGGGGATGGACGGCCTGGCAACCTAGTGTCCGGCCCCACGCCGGGGCGGAGCTGCGGGCGCGGCGGGCACTTCCGGGAGCGGCCGGCTGCCCTAGGGCCGGCGCGGCCCGCCACCATGAGCGCGGAGACCGTCTGCAGCGCCTTGCCCGCCATCCCGTACCACAAGCTCGCCGACCTGCGCTACCTGAGCCGCGGCGCGTCCGGCACCGTGTCGTCCGCCCGCCACGCCGACTGGCGCGTTCAGGTGGCCGTGAAGCACCTGCAGATCCACAGCCCGCTGCTCGACAGGTAGGGCCGCGGCCCTGCCCGGCTCAGAGGCTCTCATCCCGGGCACATGGGCTCCGGAGCCCCGACGACGGTGACCGCTTCCCCTCGAAGCGGCCCTTCAAGGCTTAGGCTCACCTGGGGGGGACGGCCGGCTTCTCTGGAGATGCCACCATCTCGCTTCTTGTCACTGCTTTGGTATTTTTTTTCCTGGGCTTCTTTTCTCCAGACACCAGAGCCAGCAATCACAGCCCCACTCTAAACGTCCTCTCTATTGATTTTCAGTTGTGTTCACTTCGTTTTTTTCTTTTGAAGTCGAACTCCAGGGTCGCACCGCCCAGTGGGTAACTCTTAGCCGCACATAGCTGCTGAGCGCTGAAAATACGGCTGTCTGAACTGAAATGTGTTCTTAGTGGGAAATACATGCTAGATTTTTAGCACTTCCAAAACTTATCTCATGCATAATTTTAAATGGTATGCTTAGATGGTATGTTTTGATATGTTGTGATAAATATATTGGTAAAGTTCACTTCGCATGTTTCTTTCTACCTTTTTTTTTTTAAGTGGCGACTTGAAAATTTCAAATTGTATAGGTGGGTCACATGTTTTTATTGACCAGCACTGCTGTAGAATCTGGGACGTTTTGCTTTGGGCTTTTTCTTGTGGTTTTTGGTTTACTACACATAGTCAGAAGAGTTTAGACATCAAACTCAACTCAATTTAGTTTCTCCTCACTCTCACAGGAAAGGAAGTCTGTCTCTAGAAGAAACTTGTGTTATTTTTGCTAACAATAAACTGGAATCAGAAGACTGTTAATGACAAAACTTTTGAATGCCTCTCCCAGTGAACAATTTTAGTGTACTATCCAGATTTCATGGGAGGGCTAGCGTTAGTTTCTGTTTCCAAGAAAACCTTTCAACTATATGTATTGGTCAGTAAGTTTAGTCACCAGTCTGTTTTCCTTCCGGTAGAAATCTAACTAGGCTCTGCATTCAATTCTTAGCAAGTTAACCCTTTCTTCCCCCTCCCCCATGAAACTGAAAGTCTCTCAGTCGTGTCTGACTCTGCACCCCCATGGACTATGCAGTCCATGGAATTCTCCAGGGCAGAACACTGGAGTGGGTAGCGGTTCCCTTCTCCAGGGGATCTTCCCAACCCAGGGATCGAACCCCCTATATCATATAAGTGAAAATACACCATGCTAGATGCCTGATTAGCTGTCAGTATCCAACAGCAGGTAAATTCCTCAGCTTCAGCGCTGCTAATGTTACTGACTTTCATTTGCCTGTGGTTTTTCTTCGCTCTCTTGCTATCAGGCTTGGATGGGCAAGGTCCCACAGTAAGTTTGAGATACCTCTAGGGATTGCTTCCATTTTTTGTATACCATAATTCAGATTAGTGAGATACAGGGTATGTTTACCCTAGGTCTTGAATTCTGTGTAGCAAGTGCAGGGCAATTACATGTATGTGTATGTGTATGTGTATGTAGTCAACTTTGAAGGGTGGTGATTGACTGGAGAGGGTGGATGTATTTTAGAATCAACTTAAAATATATGGAAATCGAGCAGTTATGGACTCATTAGGTATTTTAAAGCAGGTTGATCCTCCCATTTTGGATGCTGCTTCTCAAGATTTTTAAGTTTTGTGCCATTTGGAGCCAAGAAATGAAGAGGGAGTTCACGTTCCATGTTCATTAACAATTTTCATAATCCCAAATTCCTACTAAATTGGGTAGGAAATTAATTCTGCCTTCAAAGAAGCCTTAAGGACCAATGCAACACTCTGGCATTACTGCGTTGTGTATTTCCTCCTACTTGTTACCTAGAATGTTAACATTAGCTGCGTTTATGACGTCTGAGCGTAGGACTGGATTTGCAGTTGACTCACAGGATATCTGTGTCCTCACTTATAAAGTGGGAATAACAAATACATGTACTCTTGGGCTCTCATGTGTATAATGTTTGCATTGTTCTCTGAAAGAAAAGAAAAATTTAAGTTTATGTGCTGTTACATGTTCTTATTTTAGTGATTGGTGAGTCATTCTCTATAACCTGACTTCTGCCCAATGAATGGACCTTCCCCAACAATCTCCCAGCTCCTTATGAGTACATGAGTTTGACTGGTTGTTCAAACACCTTGTGTAAATAGTTTAACTGTTTTGTGACTGAAATTTTCTTTTTTGCCAATATGTGTATAGAAGCTGTATTTTACATTTCTGATTTGTTTGTTTGTTTTTTAATATATTGGGTTGACCAAGAAGTTCATTCAGATTTTTCTGCAAGATGATGTGGAATAACCCAAATGAACTTTTTGGCCAACTCAATAAAAACCTATTTTTAAACTGTTTTTGCTTATTCTGTTTTCCCACTCTCTCATTCTTTTCGAAATATGACTCCAGGAATTTTCCTTCTCTGATTAAGCAGTGATTGGGAAAAAAAAAAAAGGTGTTAGAACCCACAGTTGCAATTCAAATCTGACTGTAAACCTGCCACTTATTATTAGCATGAGCATTAGAAAATTATTCATTTATCTAAGCCGAGTTGGCAACCCACTCCAGTACTCTTGCCTGGAAAATCCCATGGACGGAGGAGCCTGGTGAGCTGCCGTCCATGGGGTCGCACAGTCGGAGACGACTGAAGCGACTTAGCAGCAGCAGCAGTGCTCTCATAGGGATAATAAAACCAACTTTAGTAAAGTGACTGATACATAATAGGATCACAAGAGAAGGAAGAATGCATACTCTTAATGGGAGGAGGAATTAGTATGTTAAGTATCACCAAGATTTCCCCTAGCATGCCCTCTCTATAATTCTCAGGGTCTAGGAACTCTCAGGTCAGTCCTGTGTTTTCCCTGCAAAGGTGCTACTCTGTAACTGTCTTGTTGACCTACAACTCTTAAGGCAAATGCAGACCTGTTTCAATTTAGTGAACAAATTTAATTAAAGCTGGTCTCAGACTGGTATAATTGGTTGCCTCACAGTTGGGGTACTAAGTGTCTGAAGAACAGGAAGAAGGATAGAGGCTCTTTATGTATTTTTGTAACTCTTGAATTTTGAAACATGTAACTATATTACCTATTCAAAACATAGATGGCTAATATAATTTTGCTTTATTTTGTTTATTGTTTGTTTTTAAAAGAAGCCTCATAGTCTGGTCTGGAATGTGTTGTTTTTCAGCAGCCATTCATCAAGAACTTGGGTGGTTTAAACAAAAGCACCCAGAGAAATTATACATTATGTGCAAGATGACAGTTATATGAATTTTTTAATAAGCTTTTTAATGGAAGCATAACATGTATAGAAAAACACAAATGTAATTGTTTAGCATGACATCACAAAGTGAAGATAACTATAGTCACCACCCACATCAATAACTATGTCCCTTCTTAGTCATTACTCGTCATCCTTCCTAAGGGTGATCATCATCCTGAATTCTAACACCAAAGATTAGGCTTGATAGAGGTTAACCTTGATAGAAATTAAATGCATAATGTATCTTTAATTTCTGGCTTCTCTTATCTAACATTGTAAGATTGATCCATGTTGTTACCTGGAGCAGGTAACACTCATTCATTCATTTTCATTGCTATACAGTATTCAGTATTCTACTTTATAACACATTTATTTATCCATTCTATTGTTGATAGGCATTAGAGATGTTTCCAGTCTTAGGCTATTAGGACAAGAGCTTCTATGAACATTGCTGTGTATGTCTTTTGGTGTACACATGTACACATTTGCGTTGTATTCTCTTATTATGTCTAGTAAACCACTTGAGGAATTTTTTGGTCCCTGCAGCTTCAGTCTTAGTGGTTTTGGAGATTTTAGTACTCAAGGGAGGAATGCTTCCTAGGAAACATGGTTTCAGTGAATTAGAAATGGACATGGCTTGCTGGCAGGACTTTTTCCTATAGTTAACCAGTGCAGGGCAGGGGGGACATTACTGACAGAGGAGAAAAATTCCTTTTAAAAGGGAGAACTTGGATTGCTGTTGCACAGTGGAGTAAGTCCCTGGAGAAGGAAGTGGCAACCCACTCCAGTATTCTTGCCAACAAAATCCCATGGACAGAGCTGGTTGGATGAGCCACAGTCCATGGGGTCACAAAAGAGTCGGACACGACTGAGTGACTAAACAACAGCCATCATCATCGCTTGCCAAATAGCTTCTACTAGAGATTGAAAGTGAAAGTGAAAGTCGCTCAGTTGTGTCCGAGTCTTTGCGACCCCATGATCTACACTGCATGGAATTCTCCAGGCCAGAATACTAGAGTGAGTAGCCTTTCCCTTCTCCAGGGGATCTTTCCAACCCAAGGATCAAACCCAGGTCTCCTGCTACTAGAGATGATTCTTTTTCTAATACTGCTGCTACCAATACTAAATCATCCACAGTAAAAATTGACAACAAATCCAGTTCCCTTCCTTTACATCTATATGTGCCATATGTTATATTTCGTTAACAAGGTATGTTATACTCCCTTAATCAATAAAGCCAATCAGTCATCACAGCCTGGGCATTCTATTCAGCTAGTGTTTTTCTTCCCATTTCCACTGCAACCTTTATAGTTTCAGACCCTCATTGCTTCACATTTGTTGTTGTTGTTTTGCTTTTTTAAAATTAATTTTATTGGAGTAATAGTTGCTTTACAGTGTTGTATTTCTGCTGTACTGCAGACTGAATCATCTGTATGTCTGTATGTGTGTGTGTATATATATATCCCCTCTTTTTTGGATTTCCTTCCCATTTAGGCTACCACAGAGCGCTGAGTATGCTGAAGTATACAGTAGGTTCTCATTAGTTATCTAATTTACACATAGTATTGATAATGTATATATGTCAATCCTGATCTTCCAATTCATTCCACCACCCCCTTTCCCCACTTGGTGTCCAATGTTTGTTGTCTGTGTCTGTATCTCAATTTCTGTTTTACAAATAAGATCATCTATACTATTATTCTAGAATCCACATATATGCATTAATATACGATATTTGTTTTTCTCTTTCTGACTTAACTTCACTGTGTATGACAGTCTCTAGGTCCATCCATGTCTCTGCAAATGATCCAGTTTAGTTCTTTTTTATGGCCTAGCAACAATATTTCATTGTACACATGTACCACATCTTCTTTATCCATTCATCTGTAGATGGATATCTAGGTTGCTTCCATGTTCTATCTATTGTAAAAATAGTGCTGCTGTGAACATTGGGGTGCATTTATCTTTTGGAGTAACGGCCTTTCTCTGTGCCCAGTAGTGAAATTCCTGGGTCATACAGTAATTCTATTTTTATTTTTTGAAGGAACCTTCATACTGTTCTCCATAGGGCCTTATCAATTTACATTCCTACCAACAGTGCAAGAGAGTTCCCTTTCTCCACAACCTCTCCAGCATTTATTGTTTGTAGATTTTTTTTAATGATGGCCATTCTGATGGGTATGAATGATGTCTCATTATAGTTTTGATTTTCACATCTCTAATAATTAGTGATGCTGAGCATCTTTTCAAGTGTTTGTTGGCCGTATGTGTGCCTTCTTGGAGAAGTGTCTGTGTAGGTCTTCCACCCGTTTTTTGATTGGGTTGTTTGTTTTTTGGTTTTTCTTATTTTAACTGTTTGTATACTTTGGAGGTTAACCCCTTGTCAGTTACTTCATTTTCAGTGTTTTTTCCCACTCTGAGGGAGAAAATATTGGCAGATATTTTCTTATTTGTCTTGTTTATGGTATCCTTTGCTGTGCAAAAACTTTTAAGTTCAATTGTGGCTCAGCAGTAAAAAATTCGCCTCTAGTATAGGAGATGTGAGTTTGATCCCTGGGTCAGGAAGATCCCCTGGAGTAGGAAATAGCAACCCACTCCACTTTTCTAGCCAGGAATATCCCATGGACAGAGGACCCTGGCGGGCTGCAGTCCATAGGGTGGCAAAGCCTGGCGGGCTGCAGACACAACTGAGTGAGTGAGCTCATGTGTGCATAATAAGCACAGATTCCATTTGTTAATTTTGGTTTTTATTGACATTAAGAGGTGGGTCAGCAAAGATCCTACTATGATTTATGTCAGAGAATCTTCTGCCTATATTTTCCTCCAAGAGTTTTACAGTGTTTGGCCTTACATTCAGGTCTTTAATTCATTTTGAGTTTTGGGTATGGCATTAGAGGGTTCTAATTTCATTCTTTTACAAGGAGTCATCCAGTTTTCCCAGCACTACATATTGAAGAGGATGTCTTCATTGTATATTCTTGTCTCTTTGGTCATAAATTAGGTGACCATATGTGCATTGATTTGTTTCTGGGCTTTCTGTCCTATTCCATTGGTCTGTATTTTCATTTTTATACCAGTACCATACTGTCTTGATGACAGTAGCTTTGTAGTATAATCTAAGGTTAGAGAGCCTGGTTCCTCCAGCTCCATTTTTCTTTCTCAAGGTTGTTTTGGGCTATTTGGGATCTTTTGTATTTTCTACAAATTGTAAAATTTTCTGTTCTAATTCTGTGAAAAATGCCATTGGTAATTTGATAAGGATTACATTGACTCTGTAGATTGCTCTGGGTAATATAGTCATTTTCACAATATTGATGCATCCAGTCCAAGAACATGGTGTATCTCTCTGTATATTTGTATCTTTAATGTCTTTCTTAGTGTCTTAGAGTTTTCTGTGTACAGATCTTTTGCTTCCTTAGGTGAATTTAGTCCTAGGTATTTTATTTTCTTTTTGTTGTAATAGTAAATGAGATTGTTTCCTTAATTTCTCTTTCTGTTTTCTCATTGTTAGTGTATCGGAATGCAAGAAATTTCTGTGTTTTAATTTTGTGTCCTGAAACTTTAGTAAATTCACTAATGAGCTCTAGTAGTTTTCTGGTGGCATCTCTAGGATTTTCTATGTAAAGTATTGTGTCATCTGCAAACAGTGACAGTTTTATGTCTTCTTTTCCAATTTGTATTATTTTTATTTCTTTTCCTTTTCTGATTGCTATGGCTAGGACTTCCAAAACTATGCTGAATAATAGTGTTGAGAGTGGATACCCTTGTCATGTTCCTGATCTGAGAGGAAATTCTTTTAGTTTTTCACCATTGAGAATATTTGCTGTAGGTTTGTCATATATGGCCTTTATAATGTTGAGGTAGGTTCCCTCTATGCTCACTTTCTGGAGAGTTTTTATCATAAATGGGTGTTGAATTTTGTCCAGAGTGTTTTTCTGCATCTATTGAAATGATCATGTGATTTTTATTCAGTTTGTTAATATGGTTTGTCATATTCATTGATTTGCATATATTGAAGAATCCTTTTATCCTAGGGATAAATCCCACTTGGTCATGGTGTATGAAGCTTTCAGTATGTTGTTAGATTTGGTTTGCTAATACTTGGTTGAGGATTTTTGTGTCTGTGTTCATCAGTAATACAGGCAAGAATACTGGAAGTGGGTTGCCATTTCTTCCTCCAGGGGATCTTCCTGACCCAGGGTTCAAACCTGAGTCTCTTATGTCTCCTGCATTGGCAGGCAGGTTTTTACCACTAGCGCCACCTGGAAAGCCCACTAATCATTGGAAATGCACAAATCAAGACTACGATGAGTTTGTATGTTTCTTAAAAAGGTTTCTGGACAGCTTGAGGTCACAGACTGTATTTTTGTATCTGATTTGTTATTTGCCTGACATGTACACCCTACTTTGTTTATCTTTGGTTGGGCTAGGTCTTCGTTGCTGCACGTGGACCTTCTCTGTTTGCAGAGAGTGGGGGCTCCCCTAGTTGTGGTGCGTGGGCTTCTCATTGCGGTGGCCGCTCCCATTGTGCAGCACAGACTCGGGTGCGCTGGCTTAGGTATTTGTGGCACAGGGGCTTGTTAGTTGTGTCTGCAGGGCCTGGAGCATGCAGGCTTCAGTAGTTGTGGTGAATGGGATCAGTAGTTGTCACCCGCGGGCTTAGTTGCTCCATGGCATGTGAAATCGTCCCAGACCAGGGACTGAACGCAAGTCCTCTGCCTTGGCAGGCAGATTCTTAGCCACTGCACCACCAGGGAAGTCAGCAAACTTGTTTTGTTTTGTTTTTTAACTTAATTGTTTCCATAGGGCTGAGCACTGTGGTTTATTCATGATGAAAGTTCAACACTTATTTCTTTTATGAATGAATAAGGAAATATCTGGAATCCAGAGTTAGCCCAGGAATGTTATAAGCATTTATCTTTTCTCGGTGTTCTTTTCCTGAGTTCCAGCCTATAATATCTGAGTGTTATTGACCCTTATGCCACTATTATAATCTAGTCACTAAAATCTACAGCATTTAAATGTTTTAATATTCAGGATATTTAGAAAATTTTTACATGGTATGCAACTGTAACTGGAGAAGGAAATGGCAACCCACTCCAGTACTCTTGCCTAGAAAATTCCATGGATAGAGGAGCCTGGTGGGCTACAGTCCATGGGATCACAAAGAGTCGGACATGACTGAGCGACTTGACTTGACCTGACCTGATGGAACTGTAAAATTTAAGGTAACAGTCTAATCAAATTTTATCATTTTAATACAATGGAAACTTATGTAATTAGGCCAAGCACCTGTCATTTTAATACAAGTACTTTATAAACAAACATTGTCTTCTTTCCCTTTCCTAGGAAAAGTACAGTTTTAATCCATATGTAGCACTTTTTTCTGTCAGTGGTTTATATATGTTATTTTGATCTCTAAACAGACCTATGGAATATGTAGGGTAGATATTATCCCTCCTTTAAATATAAGAAACTAAGAAAAGTTGCCTAATTTATATGAGGTCAAAGCTAATGAATGAAAGAATCCAGAATTAATTAATATTATGGGCATGATAATTGTGTATTTTTCATTATTTTGAAATAATTATGTTTTTTTTTTTTCTTTAGTGAAAGAAATGATATCTTTAGAGAAGCTGAAATTTTACACAAAGCTCGATTTAGTTACATTCTTCCAATTTTGGGAATTTGCAATGAGCCTGAATTTTTGGGAATAGTTACCGAGTACATGCCAAATGGATCGTTAAATGAGCTCCTGCATGGGGTAAGTACTCTACATTTTCAGTGGCTGGAACTCTGCTAGTTAACCGATACAGTGCTTTGTTTTACATGTGAGCCAAAAATAAGAATGATGACAAACAGTTGCAGTGGTAAAATTTCACCATTTCTGGCTTCTTTTGTGTTGTTAAAAATACTGTGGAGCCAGACCCTGCATTCTAGTCACTTAGATTATGCTGCTTAGGTTCCTGAGGCTTACACTGAATTTCAGTATCCACAGGTATATATATGTGGGAGAGGAGCAGGAGAGAGAAAAGATAGACTCTTCACACTGTACAATTTATTATTGGTTTAAGCCAGCTTTTATTTTATTTTATTTTTTTAGCCAGCTTTTATTTTATGTTAAAGACAATTTAGTATAGTAATTAAATGTTAGTAATATCAGTTCACAAAGTTCTGAATTAATAGGCCAAATTATCTATCTCTGAGTATCAAATACATGAGTTTTTCCAATAATAGACAACGGCATGAGCCGTATTAACCTTTTTCTCAAAATACCAATTACTCTGTCTTTAACTGTGAAAGCCATTAGTAAACAACTTTGAGGGGGCGAGGTCCTCATTCTCAAAATGTGTGTATTCATCTATTGTTGTCTGCTTGACCTTATTAAGATTATCTCTAGCCTGCAGTTTCCCTCAAATATTTTTAAATACCTAGGTCTGTTTTGTGAGGGTTGCTTTACTTAAAACTGAGTAGTAACATAACCTGTAAAATCCAGTCACTGAACACTCCTAAATTCTGGTGCATCCCAATGTTCCATAAGCAAATGAGGAAGCATGGGTGCCCCATCACCACTCATGGGTGACTTCCTCTTTGTTTTAGGACGCACCACATTCTGTTTGTGACGGCATGATCTAGAACAAGGGCAGAGTAAAGTGACTAGTGTCAGTGTGTAAGATTTGTGTAACCAACACAGCAATTAAGATACAAAACACAGTTTCCTTTTTTTGAATGAATGTAAGCATAGATTCTAATGTTTTCCTCCCATACCTCAGCACCCCAGTAGATACTCTGGTACCCAAATTTGGAGCCCATTAGAAATTCTAGAGCCTCCTAAGGGGCATTGCTGATTTCTGGATGGAATCATAAAAGACAAGTTGAGCACTCATCTACCATCTTCCCCAGTGATTATCTACTTCTTCTGAGTATGTTCATCTTCCTGGGCAGCTGTATTAATGTTTAGGTTAGGAAAACTATTTAAGAAAATTCAGATGACTATTATTTGTCAGTACCAGGAAATAAAGGCATTACATTTGTAATGTTTCTATATTATATATGGAATGCAAAAGTAGGAAGTCAAGAGATACCTGGAATAACAGGCATGGTTAGCCTTGGAATACCAAATGGAGCAGGGCAAAAGCTAAGAGAGTTTTGTCAAAAGAACATGCTGGTCATAGCAAACAGCCTTTTCCAACAACCCAAGAGACAACTCTACACATGGACATCACCAGATGGTCAATATAAAAAAAAGATTATGTCTTTGCGGCCAAGGATGGAGAAGCTGTATACAGTCCGCCAAACAAGACCTGGAGCTGACTGTGGCAAGATCATGAGCTCGTTATTACAAGATTCAGACTTAAAGTGAAGAAAGTAGGGAAAACCACAAGACCATTCAGATATAACCTAAATCAAATCCCTTATGTTTATACAGTGGAGGTGATGAACAGATTCAAGGGATTAGGTTTGGTAGACAGAGTGCCTGAAGAACTATAGACAGAGGTTTGTTACATTGTACAGGAGGCAATAACAAAACCATCTCAAAAAGGATGCAAGAAGGCAAAGTGGTTGTCCAAGGAGGCTTTACAAATAGCTGAGGAAAGAAGAGAAATGAAAGGCAAGGAAGAAAGGGAAAGATATACCCACTGAATGTAGAGTTCCAGAGAATAGCAAGGAGAGATTAAAAAAAAAGCCTTCATAAATGAACAATAGAATGGGAAAGACTGGAAATCTCTTCAAGAAAATTGGAGATGTCAAGGAGAACATTTCATGCAAGGATGGGCACGATAAAGGACAGAAATGGCAAGGAGCTAACAGGAGCAGAAGAGATTAAGAAGAGGTAGCCAGAGTTTACAGAAGAATTACACAAAAAAGGTCTTAATGACCTGGATAACCGTGATGGTGTGGTCACTCACCTAGAGCCAGACATCTTGGAGTGTGAAGTCGAGTGGGCCTTAAGCGTTACTGTGAACAAACCTAGTGGAGGTGATGGAATACCAGCTGAGCTATTTGAAAGTCCTTAAAGATGATGCTGTTAAAGTGCTGCACTCAATATGTCAGCAAATTTGGGAAATGCATAGTGTCCACGAGACTGGAAAAGGTCAGTTTTCATTTCAGTGTCAAAGACGCGCAATGCCAGAGAATGTTCAAACTACCATACAGTTTTGCTCATTTCACATGCTAGCAAGGATATGCCCAAAATCCTTCAAGCTAGGTTTTAGCAGTACATGAACCAGGAGCTTATAAATTTTCAAGCTGTATTTAGTAAAGGAAGAAGAACCAGAGATCAGATTACCGACATTCATTTGATCATGCAGAAAGCAAGAGAATTCCAGAAAAACATCTTCTGTTTCATTGACTGTGCTAAAGCCTTTCAATGTGTGGATCACAGCAAACTGGAAAATTCTTAAAGAGATGGGAGTATCAGACCACCTTACCTGTTTCCTGAGAAACCTGTATGTGGGTCAAGAAGCAACATTTGGAACCAGTCATGGAATAACTGACTGGTTCCAAATTGGGAAAGGAGTACAACAAAGCTCTATATTGTCACCCTGCGTATTTAACTTCTATGCAGAGTACATCATGTGAAATGTTGAGGTGGATGAATCACAAGCTGGAATCAAGATTGCTGGGAGAAAAATCAACAACCTCAGATGTGCAGATGATAACCACCCTAGTTGCAGAAAGTTAAGAGAAACTAAAGAGCCTCTTGATGAGGGTCAAAAAGGTGAGTGAAAAAGCAGGCTTGGAACTCAGTGCCATAAAAACTAAGATCATGGCATCCGGTCCAATCACTTCATAGCAAATACAAGGGGAAAAAGTAGAAGCAGTGATGGATTTTATTTTCTTGGACTCCAAAACTCAGCGTATTAAAAAGCAGAGACATCACTTTGCTACAAAGGTACATGTAATCAAAGTTTTTCTAGTAGTCACATAGGGATGTGAGAGTTGGACTATAAGAAGGGTGGGCACCGAAGAATTGATGCTTTCGAACTGTGGTGCTGGAGAAGACTCTTGAGAATCCCTCGGACAGCAAGAAGATCAATTCAGTAAATCCTAAAAGAAATCAACCCTGAATACTCATTGGAAGGACTGATGCTGAAGCTGAAGCTCAAATATTTTGACCATCTGATAGGAAGGGCTGACTCATAGGCAAAGACCCTGATGCTGGGAGAGATTGAAGGCAAAAGAAGGGGGTGGCAGAAGATGAAGTGATTATATAGTATCAACAACTCAATGGCCATGAATTTGAGCGCAAACTCCAGGAGATAGTAGAAAACAGAGGCACCTGGCATGCTGCAGTCCATGGGATCACAAGTAAGTGGGACACGACTTAGCAACTGAACAACAACCTGGAATGAGAAGACTTGTAGAGTATAAATATATGTGTCTGGGTATTATATAAAAATAAACTATCTCAACTGGAGAAAGAGCGCATACCATGTAGTTACATTGCTAGTATACACTAAAAGGAAATACTAGTACTGTAAAGTCATTATTTTCTCTGTAAGCAAATAAGATCCGAGGATGTTAAAGAATGTCAAATAGATACTATATAATAAAATAAGTATATTTTGCCCTATACTTAGTTATACTAGATATTTAGTTTATACTATTCCTCATGGAATATTTCATTTTCAAAGTGGAAATAAATTTGGCCACTAATTTTAGTTTTATTTATTTTCATATATATGAAGAAAATCGAGTATCCTGATGTTCCTTGGCCATTGAGATTCCGTATTCTGCATGAAATTGCTCTAGGTGTAAATTACCTGCACAATATGAATCCTCCTCTACTTCATCATGACCTGAAGACTCAAAACATCTTATTGGATAATGAATTTCATGTTAAGGTAATTACTGTTTTTCAAAAAAGCTCATCTGCATCCTTGTGTTTAATAGTTTTAAAGACTTTTTAGTTAATTTTTCTACCTTGCTGGTTTAATATCTCTGCCTTTTCCATGGCCCCTCATTCAGTGCCACTTCTTCCTGCTGCAGTGGGTTAGTTATTCCTAGACTACAGATATTGATAAAACTACAGTTCAGATACAAGGTCATTATATTCTTAATTTAAATTGTTAAGTATACTTTTATTTAATTTTTATTTTGAAATTATAAGAGATTCTTAGGTGGTTGCAAAGTAAAGAAGTCTCATGTACCCTTCACCCAGTTTCTACCAGTGGTTACATCACATATAATTATAGTTCCATTTCAAGGCCAGGAATTTGACATTGGTACAGTGCGCATACGTAGTTTGTAGTTCTGTTTCACTTTATCTTGTGTAAATTTCTGTAACTATTATAGCAGTCAGGATACAGCACTATTCTATCACAACAAAGATACCACTTATACTATCCCTTTATAGTCAGGTTCACCTTCCCTCCATCATCCCTAACCACTGTCAACCAGTAATCTGTTTTTCATTTCTATAATTTTGTTGTTTTGACAATGGAATCATACAGTGTATGATATTTTGAGATTGGCTTTGTTCATTTAGCATAAGGCCTTTGAGATCCATTTGAGTCTTTGCTTGTGTCAAGAGTTGGTTTCTTTTTCATTGACGAATAATATTCCATGGTGTGGGTGTACTAGAGTTGTTTAACCATTCACTTATTGAGAGAGATTTGGTTATTTTTAGCCTTTGGCAGTTAAAATAAAGCTCCATTGAATAGTCCTATACAACTTTTTGAACAAATGTAAGTTTTTATTCCTCTGAGATAAATGCCCAAGAGTTTAACTGCATGGTCATATGGTAAAGTATGTTTAGCTTTTTAAGAAGCTAGCTATTTTCCACAGTGGCTGCACCATTGTACATTTCACCAACAATGTATGAAAGACCCATTGTATGCACCCTCACCAGCATTTGGTATTATCACAGCTTTTTATTCTGGCATTCTAATGGATGTATAGTGATATATCACCATGATCTTAATTTTCATTTTCCAATGATGTTGAATAGTGTTATTTATTTATTTGCTATCTCTATATCCTTTTCAGTGATGTGTGTCTTCAGATCTTAAGACCATTTTCTACTTGGACTCTTTGCTTTTTTACTATTGAGTTTTAAAAGTTCTATGTATTTTATAGATGTAAGTCCTTCATCAGATATGTATTGATAGTTTGCAGATCTTTCCTGCCAGTACAAAGTTTGTTCTTTTCATCCTTTTTAGCAAGGTCTTTCATAGAGCAAAAGTTTTAATTTTTTTCTTTTGTGATCATGCTTTTGTTGTCATGACCTTTTTTTTAACTTTGTCTTCTAGCTTTGTGTCATCCTCAAATTTAATTAGCTACTTTTTGTATCTTCAAGTCATGATTACCTGTTACCCATTACAGTGCCCAAATCAGAGCTTACACAGCATGGTGCTGAAACCTCCCTTCAGGTCAAGATCAGGCCTTTTCTTAATTAGGACTTCTGGAGAATAAGCATTCGTTTTCGTTGGCATACTCCTAAAAGAGCCGTTACACAGCCCGTTTTTCTCCTTTTTTTTCATACAAGTGTTACAAAAGTCCTTCTCTGACTGCTTTCCCAAGTGTCATTGTTACCATGTCCAACTTTATACTGCTCACCATGCAACAGGGCCAATAAATCAACAGATGAGGTGTTGGGGCAAGGGATAGCAACTTTATTTGGAAAGCCAGTAGACCGAGAAGATGGTGGATGAGTGTCCCAAAGAACCGCCTCACCCACGCTAGAATTCAGGCTTTTGTTTTTATGCTAAAAGGCGAGAGGGTGTGGATGGTGGTGGCAAGTCTCTTGGACCTTTTGTGTTTTTTTTGTTTGTTTTGTTTTGTTTTTGTCTGGTTTTATTTATTTTTTTATTAGTTGGAGGCTAATTACTTTACATCATTGCAGTGGTTTTTGTCATACATTGAAATGAATTAGCCATGGATTTACATGTATTCCCCATCCCGGTCCCCCCTCCCACCTCCCTCTCCACCCGATCCCTCTGG